TAGTTGCTCCAGTTGACCACTAGATGTCTGCCTTCATCAGCATAACATCTTTAAATCATTTCTGCATCTCTAACCCCATTGGTCGATTGTCCAACCAGTTACGTAAAGTATTGAGCTCCAGCGTTTAAACTTATTTTTTTAAAAAGGGAGCTCCGATTGTAAAGTAAAATAAATCAATACATACAAAATTTTAGTATGGATTACAAACGTTAACTGTTTTAGCTGGGACAGGGAGTTCTAAACATTGCCTTCCTGCTATGTTAGCAGACACAAAGCATTATGGGAAATGAGAACTGTGACCCAAAGCAACAGTCAGCAGGATATATATACCTTCACAATAAGTGTGTTTATCTGGGAGGGGTGCTGGTGGATAGATCATGTGTTGTGATTTATTGACAGTCATACCTTCTGCTGTTCAACATAATGATGACTGGTAGATAATTAGTTATTAGCAGTACTGCATTTTAATTTTAGAAAGTGCAAATCTGCTTATGAATTGTAAAAATTAGTAAGACCGCTAAAGCGCAAATGAAATATTTAGGTCCGCAATTAGCGGATTTGCGCTTTAGCGGACTGGTGCCCACCACTGTTCTCAATGTTTGAGGTCATCTGACTGCAGCACATTTGACATGGGGAAGAAATTCCAATACTTATATTACTTATATTATTCTTTACGGTTTATACTTAAACAGTAATGAAGGATCCTAACCTTATTTATTGCCATTTCACATATAAAGACTTTGCTAAAAACTTTATTGAACAAGAGAATAATGACAATTCAAACACTCCATGTGACTATTTTTYATACTGTAAGTAATTAATATAATGAAAATGTGCCATAACAATTCATTTTAAATGTAAGCTCATACCTGGAGATTATCTTAGTAATTCATGACCCACAGTGGGCTCCCAGTCAGAACCACTTATAGAAGAATACACGTGAACTGTCTCTACATCAGGTTTTCTATCAAAATGTCACATGAAAAGAAATTCTCCACAGCAGAAAACATTTATATTTTCGTCTCACCATAAAGGAACTGGGAGCACTGAGCGTAGCCCTCCTCCATCTCCTCACACTTGTCAGCAGCTGTCTGCATGTCACTGTATGTGGTGGCAAAAACAGCCGCCCCACACTCCACCAGGAACTTACAGAGCTGCACGTTGTTGCAGGATGCAGCGCAGTGAAGGGGGGTCCTACAGAGAGACAGCGGTCGTACACTAGTTAAATTTCACACACTGACAGACTGAACGGGTCACTCTGAACAGAACAGGTATGGACTCACCAGCCGTCACTGTCAGCAGCGTTCACATTGACGCCAAACTGAACCAAAAACTTCACAATCTCAGTGTGGCCAGCACAGACAGCGTTGTGCAGAGCTGTGATTCCTTCATCATTTGGCATGCTGGGATCATCAACCTGCATGATAAACATCACCTAACGTTTAATCCGGAGGGAAGAGTTTTAATCTGATGTCTAACAGTTCAGATAAAATATGTTACACTCATTTTTATCTTAAGTTTATGGATTTAAAAAAATCCACAAAAATGTAAAATTCATCACTGAAAATATAAGCGGGTCACTTGCCATATATTAGTAGTAGTTCTTTATTCATTTCATTTGTAACAAAGATTAGCAAAGTACAGAAAAACATGCAATCAAAATAAAATCAAATAAAATGAAAGGCAGCAGAAGAAGAATAAATCTTATAATATCTGCCCCTTTTTATACCCAAAATATGTTCAAAATAAATAAAAATAAAAAGACATCAATTCAAAAACAATTAGCATGAATTCACTTATAATTCTCCATATTTCTTCAGAATACAGATTTTATCATTCTCTTCAGTATATACAAGGATCTGTCATTTTTAACCTCATCTTCTATGCTGTTCCATAATCTTATTCCCTGGATTAAAGTGGATCTCTCCTTCAGGCTCGAACGAACCCAGAGTTTCACAAACATTTCAATCCTTTAAGATAAAAACAGCTCTCTCTTTTAACCAAATTTACCTGAATGTTTGAAGGTAACATACCTTTATGAGCTCTGTGCATTAATAGTAAAATATTATAATCGACCAAATCATAGAATTTTAATAATTTCAAATCATGAAACAATATATTCGATGGATGACTGTAATTTTTTTTAGTAATAACTCTTATAGCTCTTTTCTGTAAAATAAAAATAGGATTTGTGATAGTTTTACAAGCTTTACCCCAGACTTCAATACAGTAAATTAAATGTGGAACAATTATAGCGTTATACAACATAAACAGTGATTTA